AAAACAACTCTGGTGCTGCCTTATTTTATGAATGATAAATATTAAATCAGTAACACTGTACAATAATGTTCCATTAGTTAATGCTAATGGATCACAAAGGGGATTTTGAAGTCAATTAAATATAAAGCTAAGCTTTATAAATCTTACATAAAAAGCCCTTCTATCTTAAAAAAAGAGAAATATATTTCATATAAAAATAAACTAACACAGATTATAAGAAAAAGAAAACGAATTCACTATACCGAACTGTTAAAAGGTTCGCAGGGGGACTGCAGGAGGACATGGAATGTTCTAAATGAAGTTCTTAATAGGAGGCATAAACCGACTGTTCTACCTGACATTGGTGATGCCAAAGCTGATCTAACACAGACTTTTAATGATCATTTTGCTTCAATAGGTGCAAATTTGTCTAAAAAGATAAGCCAACCCCAGGATGTCACCTTTAAGCACTTTCTCTCTGGTAGCTACACTCACTCATTTTTTATGATGCCAACAGACGGTACTGAACTCCTCAAGATCATTTTGGACTTGAGGAGCTCATGCTCAGCTGGTGTGGATGGAATATGCAGTAGGATCATGAAGGCAGTAGCGAACATTATTGTAGAACCATTGGCTCATTCTATTAATCTTTCTTTATTTACTGGTACTGTACCAAAAATGACAAAAATTGCTAAGATAATCCCAATTTTTAAATCTGGTGACAGAAATGCTATGAGCAATTACCGGCCCATATCAATTCTACCCACTTTCTCTAAAGTAATAGAGAAAGTGGTACACAATAGACTTAGTGGTTATCTTGACAAATTGGATATTCTTGTCCCTTCGCAATATGGTTTTAGAAAAAAGAGCACAACCTGTATGGCAATACTCGACTTAATAGAACAAATTAATGACTGTATTGAAGAGGGAAAATGCGGTGTTGGTGTCTTCTTGGACCTATCAAAAGCATTTGACACCATTGACTTTGATATCTTATTATACAAATTACATCATTATAGTATCAGAGGTCTAGCACTTGAATGGTTCAGAAGTTATCTAAATGAGAGGGAACAGTATGTCCATGTCGATGATCAAAACTCTACTTGTATACCTATAATCTATGGGGTCCCCCAAGGTTCAATCTTGGGTCCACTTCTATTCAATATATACATAAATGATTTTATAAATTCCTCTAATATATTTCATAAAATAATTTTTGCTGACGACACAAATCTATTTGCATCACACAGAAACCCACATATACTACAAGATATAGTAAACTCAGAGTTAACTAAAGTTGACTCCTGGTTTAAATGTAACAAACTGTCATTAAATATTAGCAAAACAAATTTCATTTTATTTAATGCAAACAAAAAATCAGCTTTTTAAAAAACACTGCACAATGCCTGATTAAAATCAATGGGCAGGTAATAAAAAGAGTATACTCAACAAAATTTTTGGGGGTCCTCATTGATGAATCTCTTAGCTTTAAATGTCATATTGACCATCTAGTAAATAAATTATCAAAGTATGTTGGCTTGTTTTATAAGATCAGGCACTTTCTTCCTCTGTCTGCCCTTATGATGATGTATAAAACTCTCTTTGAACCACATCTTATCTATTGTAATGTGATATGGTGCAACACCTTTACAAGTCATCTTAAAAAACTCGAAACCTTGCAAAAGAAAGCCATACGGGCTCTGTCCTGGTCGGAGATAAATTCCCCGACCCGCCCCTTTTTTTATCACTTTAAGATATTAAGACTGGCTGAGCTAAATAAATATCATAATGCCTGTCTAATGTTTCAAATCGTAAATAGCCTGAACCCTAGGTTGAGTAGTCTTGTTCCTATCTACAGCCCCCGGCATACATACCAAACGAGAATCAAACCACTTATATTCGGAAAATACCGCCGACATGTGCGCACCAGTATGAGTGTTGTTTGTAAGGGGCCGCAGATCTGGAACGGGATTGATGATGGTCTTAAGTTGTTGCCCACTATCTCCAACTTCAAAAGACAATTAAAACATAAGTTCTTATTAACCTATATCTAATTCTAAAACTGACTTTCATGGATTACTGGGATGTGTGTATGATTGTATGAGTGAGTATGTTGTTAATACGTATGTTGTGGTATTCCCTGTGTGCACTTATTGTGTTCTCACTGTACCTTGTCTATAATTACTTGTACAAGAACCATGGGCCCCTATTTATAAGCTTTTTAGCTTCTTTGGGAGACCCATTTCATGATACTTAACCTACTTTGTATCTTCAAACTGTACTATTGTAATGTGTTGAAGAGGTATTGTATTGTGAATAAACAAACAAACAAACAAAATGCATTAACTAACAATGAACAATACGTTTATTACAGTATTTATAATATTTAGTTATCTTTGTTAATCTTAGTTAACAAAAAATACAGCCGTTCGTTGTTAGTTTATGTCAGCTCATATCTGTTAACTAAAATATACACGGATGATCTTTTGATTTTAATAATGTATTAGTAAATGCTGAAATG